TTATGTTTTTTCAACTCTGATGTCATGGTAGGATGGTGGCTTAAATCTTGGACTATGTTTTGAAATTAATTCCAACATCTTATGAACTTCATCACTTCTTGCAATATTGAATGGAATGACATTATTATAGAAGAAATATGCAATTTCTTGATATGGTTTCTCTCTTCAATTCTTATTAAAGATGTTATTTATTGTAGCTTGAGTGCTCACTCCTCTTTTTTTTTTTGAAAATTTTATTAATTTGATCATCATTTTCATTCAATTTTTTTTCCACTAAGCTCATCATCATCATCATCATCATCATCATCATCATCATCATCATCTTGTGTGATTAATTTATTCAACCATCTCTCTTGTAACGAGGATACAATTCCAAACATTTGTTTTTTTAATTAATTAGGAACGAAATTACAAGCCCTTAAATCCTTTCATGTTCCCACCAAATGGTGCTTGAATCGGCAAACATCTCATGTTATCGTCTTCTTATGATAATTGTATTGAATTCTTCCACCACTTGCATCAACTTGAATATCATGCTTCCATCCCACACGAGTCATACTTCCAACAACATTTTTGTTCATTTTAATTCCTCTACTAGAGGCAACAACAACAACATCATCACTAACACTAGCACTAAAAGCCATTTTTTTAGCTTAAATCAGATTTTGCCAATTGCCAAACCACCACCATTTTAAATATTAATTTAAATTAGAGAATGAAAATCAAAATACCTTATTAATGTAATTTAAATTCAATTCATGTCATCCGTAATTCAGATTCTATAGAAAAGAGAACATATACATATACCTGGAAAAGAATATAGGCTATGGGAAGAAGAGAAAACAGAGGTTACACGAAAAAGAAATAAAGGCTACATAAAAAAAAAAAAACAAATGCTACATGAAAAAAGAAAAAGAAAACAAGCGCCGAAAAATTGAAGAAGATTCCTATTCACTGGAAGAAGACAATAAAAAAATTGAAGAGAAAAAAAAAGAGAATAGAAAACTTGAAGTACAGTCCCAATCACCGGAAGAAAACAATAAAACTTAGGATATGTTAAATATAAATTTACTAACCATTTCAAAGCCACCATCAAAGCTTTCTAGTTACCACCAATCAAGATTGTACAATTTAGAACTATGGCTACATTCAACAACTTCTGTCTAATGGTGTTATTTATTATTAGTTCTGTTTTGATGGTCAAAACAAGACTTTCATACGATGTTCCCCAACCGATGGAAACTAATTATGCACTAAGCCCATTGTCATCATATGAAGAGTATTTAAACAACTGTGGGAAGAAGTTATCCCTAAGATGTGGTGATGAAGTGTTCTTATATATATTTTTTGGTAATCGAATAGTTACGAACCATTGTTGTGTTGAACTTACAGATGGTGTAGGAAAACGTTGTCACGATGGTAGGACAAAATACATTCTAAGATTGCCAAAGTTAGAGAAAAACAAACCAATATTTTGTAGAGGAGTGAGACAATATATAATGAAAGTTTTTACACTACATAGGGTTGCCACATGGGGTTGCTTCAGGGTTGTTGGAATTAAAAATTTGTACAATTTACAAGTTGTCTTTTCTAATAATGGATAAAATAATTTTTGTATTTATAATTTTTTGACATATTTTCTTGAAATTAATTATACACGTTTCAAGTTCAAAAAGCTCTTGTGTAAAGAGATGTGTTAGATAATATTATAAACCATTAACAAGGTCCTTATCCAACAACTTAAGTTCTTGGGTTGAATTGATTATTTATATGGTATCATAGTTGAAGTGACCAAGTGATCAATGAGTTCAATCATTATTGCCCCATTTTATGATGGACCATCGAACAATAGCTACATTCGACAACTTTTTTCTGTTATTTATTATTAGTATTTGAGAGACTAATGACACAAACTTCTGCACTCTACATCATAAAGAAAATTAATCTCATCAAAATAATTGAAACAATCTTGACAAACTAAAAATAAATGCCTAACATGAAATAAATCCAATAAAGGGTGTGAACTACAGGCTGAGGCCCATAAAAGATGGCCTGAAATAGCTTAAGAAATCCTTGGTAAATTTTGCTATAAGTTAATTCGATTTTTAATAAATAAATTATTTACTCTTACCGACTAATTGATATATCCATGGCCCATACAACTTGGTTTCTGGACTTGTTAAGAGTCATAACAAATGAAACAATAATAGAAACCTATCTTGTTGGAAACTTAATGGGAATTGTGACATTAATTGGAATCATGGTAATTCATATAATAAAAACAACTTCACTGACTTTATTTCCAAGAAAAACCATACATTCAATAACATGATTTCCCAATTTTCTTCCTAGAAACTTAATTCCATTACTCAGGCCATTTGACCTATAAATATTGCTCCTTAACATTACTCGAACTCCTAATTTTAATATAAGTTTATGGAATGGCAATCCAAAGCAGTTAATGTCATTCAAAATATAACTAGAAAATATATCTTATTCACTTTCCAAATTACCTTCTATACACATTGAATCATAACTCAAGTATACTTTTTCATCTCCAAGAATCATAAACATTAAGTTCTTATTAACCAGAGCAACAATTTATAAATTAGGAGTCATACTTGTTCTCTCCTTGAACTAGTCTTAATCAAGTTCTACAAAATATTTGTAGGGGGAGGTTATAGTTATTACCCCTTTTTCTCACTACTTGTTACTACTAAATCGTAATCGTTGATTTCCGTCAATCTAACGGTTATAATTTATTTATTTTAAATAAATTATAACCGTTAGATTGACGGAAATCAACGATTACGATTTAGTAGTAACAAGTAGTGAGAAAAAGGGGTAATAACTATAACCTCTCTCATATTTGTATAAGCAAATTTAATTAACTCATCTTAAGTAGAATCATAATTTGTAATGAGTATATCTTATGGAATTTCAATTTTAGATTCTCCTTCAGTTGATTTCATGACAATTTATTAAATTGTCTCAATTGAATATGATTTAAATCACTTCGTACCTGCTTTAAATCTCATGTTTGTAGTAAGCCTAAGAACTTGGGAAATAACTAAGAGAGTGTTTGGTAGAGGAGAATATTTTTTATTCTTGGGAATCACAATTCTTAGGAATATGCTAAGAAAGTAAATTTTTCAGGAATGTTACCAAAAAGTTATTTGGTGGGACAAAATATTCTCAAGAATGTTGGCTCAAGTTTCCTGATTCTATGTTTGGTTAATTATTAATCATTTCTAGGAATGTGGTCATGCTAATTCTTATATTATGGAAGGTCTTCACAAATACAACACAAGATTATCTTGTTTTTTTCGGAAGTGTTCCCAAACAGAGAGTCAGGGACAAAGACATGCACCTTCTATGATTTAACATTCATTAGCAACACTGAAGAGAAACTTCATGTCTACAGAGAAAGAGACCTCACCGGAGCGAAGCGAATGTGAAAGGGAACAACGTGAACCAAATATCGTGGCTGTCAATTCAACGTCGAAACCAGACGATCGTGGCGTAGTGGTCATTGGAGCAAAGTAGAGAAAACCCAGTAAAGGCGTCGTGAAAGGGAAGAAAGGAACCCACGATTTTGTGAAACAGAGTATCACGTCTAAGACTTTAACAAGAGAGGGTATTTTAGTCATGAAAATATTAAACAGGGTTATTTATGTCCTATAAAGTATGTAAAATTTTCCCACCATGTGAGAATTCAAGAATACCACCCCACTTGGTAGTATTATTTCATGAGATTCTTATCCACGATTTTAATTTTCGAGAATCTTATTTTCCCATAAAATTTTAAAAATCCTTGTACCAAATGTAGGTAATTAGAATTCCCAATATAAGTTTGCTTAAAATACAAAATTTATTCCTCTAGCAAGCGGCTCTAAAGGTCTATTGAGGATAGGAGCTCAACTAACTTTTCCAATGGAGCAAACTCAGGTCAACTCTGAGTAAAAGGAAATGTGTGTTAAGGGCTTCGTTTCTAGCAAATGAAAAAAGTGGAAATGCATAATCTCGATAGCAATGGAGGAGAAGAATAAAAGTCTATCCCTATATATAAGAGAGGATATTTATAGGAGAGTGGATGATTCAAAATCTACTCGAATGTGAAAGCCAACACATCCCTTATGGTGAGAGACTGAGAGTATATAACGTGTGGAAATATGCAAAGAGTATTTCTAATGCTAGGAGAACCAAAATCCTTACAGTAGGGATAGAGTTATAGATAACGTTGAGCCGAAACACATTCAATAAATTTTTTTTTACCTAAGACTGAAATCTTGTATTGACACGTTTGATTCATCTAGATTTTACACACACACACACATTCTCCCTCATATGCATTCGTTTACTCATACCATCACCAAAACATAAGTTTCCTTTATTTATCGAAATAAATAACTATCTTGGTAAAATATTTTAACCTTTGATAGCAAGTTTGAAAAGAAAGTATTTTCGTTAATTTATTTCAAAGGCTTTTTTTTTTCTTTTATATAATTTTTTTTAACGCCTATCAGGAAGCTGAAAAAAAAATATCTCAAAATAAAATAATCCAAACTAGCTATATACATTAAATTTGTTTATTGAGAAAACAATTAGCCTAAAAATATAAATATTGTATATTTAAGAAATAATAATATAATACATTTTCTATTTAAGTATTATATAACCCTTAAATAATTTCTAATCTTGATCTATGTGAAATTAAATAGTTAAAACTAACTCCTCCTATCTATTAAAACAAGGTAATGTTCTCTCTTTATCCATTTCCAAGTAAAAAAAGAAAAAAAATTCATCCAATCCAACCATGGATTTAAAATGATATGGCAAGAACTTGTGATCTTTTGCAGGATAGTTCTGGATCTAAGCCCAACAGCAGTTATTGGATTTGGAAGAAAACAATGACGGTCTGATGACAAAGTTCGAAACCATGTAATAAATTTTCAATCTTATTTATTAACTACAAAATTTAATAATTTCCAAATCTCATCAGCAAGATGAAGCGGCCATACTCTAAGCTGCTCTCACTAGTCGTTCAAGCATGCATTTACTAGATCTTCTTGCGAGTATAGAATCATTCTTTGACCTGTAGCAAACATTCTCATCACTCATATTTAATAACGAAGAAAATCTATCCAGTATCTTTACTTTCACTATGTGAGTATACCTAGAATAAACAAGTCGACAGTGAACAAGTAGTTCAGCAAAATGAGTACATAAAAAATCGATGAAAAAACTGCTATGAATACAATCCCCCTCTAATGACTTGCTATACTCGATTTCATCAACCTGGCTAATAGCTTGGCCTCACAGCAATGTCCCAAACAAAGTGACTCCAACTCTACTCCCTGGTAGAAAACAAAACAAAAAAATAAGAGGGAAGTTTTCGGCAAGCCAAATTATACTTTCACATACAGATTAGAAACAATTATATGTTTCAAACATAGATTATACTGTGCACATCCTAATCATGTCAACTTTTTTCCATTTTCTTCCCCAGTAACAAAGAAAGTTAAGTTTCACAGAACACTTTGCACAACTCTTATTATTTGTGCTGGGAAAGATATAAGGTGTGTGGCTAACCCATTGATTGAGACATTCAGGAAAAAATGCAACTTCTATGCCAAGCATGGGAAGTTTATGACAGCAAGGAAAAGATTACAAACATCAGTTTAATGCTCAGGCACCAGAAGAGCTCAGATACAAACTCTGTTGTCAACATAAGATTATAGAACAACACCACTTCACATAATACCCATGCATTCAAGGAAGGTCAGCACATCATAATCCGAAGTAAGTTTGAGGCATGATAGCTCTTTTATGCATAAATTCATTCAAAGAACACTCAATCACACAATAGTTATTTAATGCAACAACTATTGGTTTGAAAATTGCACACCGGTATCAGGAAGTAAAACCAGAAGACAACAAAAGCAATCATGAATAACTAACTGACATGCACCAACTTAAGCAACAAGTGTTGAAAACATAGATACTTGACTTGGATATAAAACAATTCACATGATTTCATTACTTAAATAATAATAATTAATTATTCAATAATAGGGGAGGAGAGAGAGAGAGAATCATAGATTTTTTCGAACTCTTAGGGGAAGCAAAAAAGTTTTTAGAACAAAACAGAGGGTGCCTGGGAGAGAGTTTAAATAAATGTTTTTGGTAAGAAAAGTACAGCCCTATTCTTATGTATTGTTCAAATTGAAGCATGAGCCCATACAAATTCATTACAATGAAATTCATCCAAAAAGTGAACACATGATAACAAATGTAAGAAGACCAAACAATTATGTCTGCTTTTGATGACTCTAAATCTCTAATTGACATGAATCAGCATAGGCAATACTCAAGGCAAATAACCTAATTTCCTTACCTAAATAAACCCGTAAACATTATTTATTTAATAACATGATACTGGTTCATGCACTAACACTTCCACAAATGGAAAAAGCAGCACATACATATGAAATCTCAATGTCTCATATTCTAGCCAACTGTTTATAGTCCACAATCCAAGGTTGCTGCTCTGGGCAGCAAACAAAAATATTGCCTTTCAGTTAAAACAACATCCATACTGATGTGTGGCTACAAGTAGAATTCCAAATATATACACTTCTTTAATCTCCATAGGATAGCTCCAAAAATATAAATTTCTGATTCCTGGGATGTCATTGCTGCCTGAAATCTTAGGGGATTCATGAGACTCAATATGGATTATTATAGACTACAGTGTACACCCCATTTTTAATTTGTTTATTTTATTAATTGAGTAAACTTTTCATCAAAGAGGGCATGGATCAGTGGTAAAGCTGCTCCTTTGTGATTGAAAGATCGCGGATTCGAATTCGTTAAAAAAGCCGACTGCATATAAGGATTGGGTTTAATGGTTTGGTTCGGTTTTGAGTAAACTTTTCATTAAAATTCTTTTTTAAGATAATGGTCTAATTTTATTCCACATATACCTAATGTCCACACTCCGTACAACTACAAGTGAATAACCTCACACCACAACAATGTCAATACATAACACAAAATAGAAGGCAAACACATTTCAGTGAGGGGACAGAACCAAAGCAATAGAATCAACAAAAGGAAACCCCACATGGACGGACATACCACTTAATAAGCGAGCCAAAAAGAAAATGCTGCATGATGGGAACCTTCTCCAAGACTTCAGCCTTATACATCTTGAGCAACCCACTATTGACCTTGTTCCAATTAGGGACCCCACTGATATCATCCAACATGGGTGAGTGCTCAGCAAACAGACCCTTCTTCACCTTCTTCACAAAATCAATGCAAGCAAGGTAAAGGTACTCACTGGAGAAATTATCCAGTATATCCTGGTTGTGAATCGACTTTGGCTTCATATACTTGTGGTCAATCAACTGCGAAGACCCAAATATGAATGGCAGAAAGTGGTAATCATCAAGCCCCCAAACACCATGTGAACCTGCAGGCTCCAAGCAATACACCAATTGCAACTTCCTCATCAGTTCAAGATACTTCACAAACACTCTGCTCACTACGGCTTGGTAATCCTCCTCTCCGATCACCCCCAACCTCGCCAGGCAGTACAGCCACGCCGCGAAATTGGTCTCGTGCCCAGTGCCGTAATCGATTCGGCTCGAGTTCCCAAAGCTATCGGCGAAATAAGGAACAATTTCAACGGTGGCCGATCGGAGATCCTCCGGGAGGAACCGCAGCATGAGGGATTCAGCGGACTGGACCAACCGTTCGTGCCAAGTTCGGTAGGCGACGTTGCCATAACGCGCGGCTTGCTGAAGTGGGGGAATTTCGTCGATCCATAGGGTTAGGGTTTCGAGAATGGAGACGATGGAGTTGGTTGTTTCGGACTGGTGGCAGGGATCGGAGATTTTGTGGCCGCGGATGGATTCGGAGAGTGCGACGACGAAGCCGAGGAAGTTCTTACCGGAATCGGAGTCGTGTAAGCGGCGAATGTCGTCGGGGGTTTGGATGCGCTTGGTTGGGGTTTGGAATTGGTAGGGCGGGGAAGCCACAGGGACCTTCTGAGCTTGTGGTACAGGAGCGAGGATGATGGCTCGCTGGGAGTTTGGGTCCGGTGGGATCGCCGGAGCTCGGATGGGTCGGTAAGTAGGCGGCGGCGAGATTTCGGAGAACGAGGGTGACGGCGGAGGTGGCGCGAAGGTTGTGGGACCGCCGCACTTGCAGCATGTGCCGGTTGTGGGTGGTGATCGTGTTTCAGGTGAACAGTCTTGGTGGTGATGCTGGGATTCTTCTTCCATGATTGAAATGGTGAATGGTGGTGCTTGCTGAATGCAGAGAAAGTGGAGGAGGAAAACCAGAATGAATGAATGGGTTTTTGGGTCCGGACCAGTTCTTTGACAATTGGGCTTATTTCTTAAAAAATTAGGCCCAGTCCATTTTGTAGAGATTGGGTTTGAGCATTATCTCATAACTGGGTTTCAATTATTGTTCCCTATGTTACAGCGACGTTGATATAGAATACGACACGACACTCTGTAATATGTAATTCTAAAAATTAAAAAAGTAATGCAACCAACTAACCTTTAAGTTGCAAAGAAACATAAGATATTTTAAAATATGTATATTAGGAAAAACGTTTCTGCAGTTAATGCAGATAACTTATCTGCATTTATTCCCAAAACGACGTCGTTTTGGTATTGAAATCTTAAAAAATTAAAAATATAAAGACTATTATAACCCTGAAATAAATTAAAATTACAAAAATACCATAATTTCCGTCCCAAAACGACGTCGTCTTGACTTACTGCAGATAAGTTATCTTCAGTAACGGCAGAAAAAGCGAACTCATTTATATTAAACATATAATCGTAATTCAACATATTTAATAGCTGGAACTAAAAAAATAACGAAACCAACCTTTAAATCCTTTTGAGTCTCTACAACGAGTGTTAGAGTGTCAAAAAATATCGAACATGACACTTCAATTTTTTTGAAATATCAGTGCATGATATATTGTTTCCCATCAAAACTATTCTCACTTTTTTTTAAGAAAAAAACTAAACACAATAATTTTTTAAGAAAAAATAAACAAAATAATTAATATATTATTTTTCTCAGTGAAGACTTATGTATGATTTTTTTTTTGTACCAGACTTATGTATGATTTAGTTTATGGAAAAAATTGTTTCTATCCATATTTTTTGACTTTTTTTTATCATATCTCTCATTCATAATATTTTCTTTTTCTTTTTTCCTTCTAATTTAGTAGAGAAGAGAATGTAAAATATTAACAAAAAAAAATATACCCAAATACGATTAATATATTTAAAATAATAGAAAACTGTGTATCTTAAAATGACAAAGATATATCAATTCTATTATCATATAATGTAGTACAAATAAATTAGAGTGTTTCCTTCCTTTATTGTCATTAATTTTCTTTTGTTTCAGAAAAAGAAAGAAAAATAAACTATAGGCTAATGTATGATGACATTTGACATTGAGGTTTTTAGGTGTGTGGAGTGTAGAGAGGGTGGAATGGGAAAACGAGAGAAGCAGAAACAGAGGCATGAGAGAAGGTCCTTCAACTATTATCTAGAAGATGATGACAGCGCTCCCCACCCTTACCAACCCTCCCCTTCTTCTTCCTCTTCTCCAAGGCATGAAGAAGAGAAGGACCTTGAAGAAAAAGAAGAAGAAGAAGAAGACGCTGATGATGACATCAATGGGGGAGAAGAAGACGAAGCAAAAAATCAAGAAAACACATCACTTAATATGCCTTCCAAGTTCCTCCTTTACCAACAATCTGTGCAGGTTCGTGTTCCTATCTTAAAAAAAAAATGTATTTTTTTTTTCATTTGGACCAGCTTGGTTTGGTTGGTTATTAAAATGAAAGATGGAATGCGCAAGATTTGAACTTTTCAAGTGTGTATTTCTATGTTTCCTACCACGAAATAGATGGGTTGTTGTGAATTTTTTCCCTGATAGAGAAGTGCATAAATTTGGCTTAGTGTATCATGCTTTTTGTTTATGCAGTCTCCCAAAGGAGACATAAGTTATATGCAAAAGTTCTTTCTCATGTACGTGGGTGGAAGGATGCCCCTCCATCTTCAAGAAGATTTCTGTGGCACTGCGTTTCTTAGGTACATCGTGGCATTTGTGATTTTTTTTTTTTTTTTTTTTTTATGTGGATATAAAATCTGGTTTGGTTTAAAAAAATATGATTGCTTTGTATCCTGGATGGCATCCTATTCCTCAGGATGTTTCAGTTCTAAACTTCAAATTGTTGATTCTTTTATGGCTCTAAACGTCAGATTAGTAAATTATCTATATGTAAGTGGGGTTCTATCTGATGTAATCCTTTTCTATTTCTGATATCTCTTGATATTTTTATGTCGGCCCGAGTCTGCTTACCAGGCAGTGATTTATGTTTGACAGTACAGAATGGCTCCGCAGTGATCCAAGAAGGACAGCAGTAGGATTAGATTTGGATCTTGAGGCACTTAATTGGTGCATGGAAAACAATATACCTAAACTTGGGGCTGATGGTTTTTCTAGAATATCCCTCTTTCATGGGAATGTCCTACAACCTCTTCAGTCTAAACTTGTGAGAATGGATCCCCAGGAGCTGGTAAGCCACATTTCACTGTCACAGAACAGAGAGAATCTGCAGACCAGTGTGCCGGAATCTGATGTTCAAACAGGCTCTGCTGCTCAAGATGATAAGTTTACTAAGAGAAACTTTCCACTGCCGGGAAGAGATATTGTGTGTGCTTTTAACTACAGCTGCTGTTGTCTCCATAAACGAGCAGATTTGGTTTTGTATTTCAAGCATGCTCGTGATGCCTTGTCAACTGAAGGTGGAATTTTTGTGATGGATTTATATGGGGGTACATCTTCAGAGCACAAGTTAAGGCTTCAGAGAAGATTTCCTAATTTTACGGTATGATATAAATTTGTAAATATTCAGTACACTAGCTAGAAGATGTTGCTACAATCTATGTGGAATTGTCTTTCATGGATAATGTGGTGTAAATCCACTTGGATGCACAAAGAAAATTTGAACACACTTGCACGGGAAACAGGACAGATGATTGATACATAAAGTATAAGCACTGTAACGTTCTTTACTAAAATCATTCTACCCTCAAATTCAACTTTGTTGCCCCATGATCCACAATTTTCCCACTTCCTACCCTTTTCTTTATGGTATTTTCACTCTTTGTAATTGACTTATTGCATTTCCAGGTATATCATCAGAGTTTCATGTTAATTTTCCAATTCTAGTTCTCTTTTAGCTTTTTCTTTTCTCATCTGCCACTGTTTGTAGCTATTCCCCTCTGACTTTTCTGTTCTTTTTATGTTCTTATGAATCCTTGGATATATAAACATATATTACATGACACCAAATTTGAGGAGCTATAACCTTTAAACCTGTGGGACAGGGATATTATGCTTTTCCAATGGAATTGCATCATATATGGAATTAGTGCACGGAAACGAGTGTATCCGTACTAACTTTCTTCTTTCAAATATTTAAGTTAATAAATAATGTTTAACAATATGGTCTTTGTGATCAAATTCTGCAGTATGTATGGGAGCAAGCTGAATTTGATATTATTCAGCGGAAAACAAGGATTAGCCTCCATTTTCATATCAAGAAGCAGCAGAGAAAACTTCGCCATGCATTTTCATACAGCTGGCGGCTGTAAGTAGTTGTATTTTTTTTTTTCCTTCTTTTTTTTTTTTTTTGGTATTCAACAGGGGCTAAAACACCCCAAACAGCAGAAGACAGAAAACGATACAGACAGAAACACAAAGCAGCAGAAATAAACTAAAAGAAACTCTAAAAACTAAAAGCCAGTGGACAAAACACAGGTTCCTAGTTTGCAGCAGTATCCAACCCAGGATCCAGAATATCAGCAGCTAGCAGGTTGAGGAGGGCACGATGAGGAGAAGAGATTGGGGAGAGACCAAGGGGATCATCCAAGGCTTTTTTCGCAATCCAATCTGCACACATATTAGCCTTCCTTGAGATACCATTTAACTGAACATTCCATTCCTTTTGCAGAAAAACTCGAATCTTAGCTACTAATGGTAGCTTTCGAGTGTCATTACCCCTAAGGGTAAGTAGGCTTAATGCTTGAGAGGAATTTGATTCCAAAGTTATCTGTTTCCAATTGTTGTTCCATGCAAATACAAGGCCATGATATACAGCCCATAATTCAGCCATTAAGGGGGAACAGGAACCTAAGAAAACCGAAAACCCACCAATCCAGTCTCCATTTCTACCCCTTATGAGACCTCCACAAGCAGCCCTCTCCCCATTCACAACACCATCCACATTCAGTTTGAAATAACCATGATTAGGGGCTGTCCACTTCTCGGGTTTAATGGGAGCAGGTATGCTAAGAACCTCTCTGGACCTGTGAACAAAACTGCATCTGATTTCCTCAATTTGGGCAGCTAGAGGAATTGAGGGGTCCACAGGTCTCTTGTAACCTTCTTCACGTATCTCTTTGTTCCTCCAAATCCAAAGAGAGTTGCAAACTATAAAGAATACATCTCTCCAATCCTTTCCAGAGCATGAATTAATATTTAGATTAAGACATAACCACTCCTTGAATGAAACAGGATTGAAAAAAAATCCTTGGGGAAGAGGATGAAACATAGGTAAAAGCCAAACCTTTTTAGCCATAAAACAGTCTCTGAACACATGTAAGCACTCCTCCACTTGATCTGGACATAAATGGCAGCTGTTCGACCCTCCATTCCATTTAGCAACTCTATCTTTTGTCAACATTCTTCCATGTAGCATCTTCCATAAGAGTATCTTGATTCTCTCTTTTCCTTTCCACTTCCAAACACGGTTCCAGCAGCTGTTTGTAGGAGCAGAATTTGAAGCTGTCTGACTGCAATAAGCCATTTTAACAATAGAACTATTCGGATTCCAATTTTTCCACACAATTATATCCTCTCCTACCCCATCTTCTGGATAAGGAATGGCTAAGATCAGATTAACAGTGTTTTGATCAAAATGACTTAGAAGAAATTGCATGTTCCAACCCTCCTCTGAGCAAAATTTACTATGCTTAATTGTCAAATCAGAGTCTTCATCTGCCGGAGGGGCTGCTGCGAGAGATATGAGATTGCTGCTGCTTCCCAACTAGTCATCTTTCCAGAATTTAATCTTTCTCCCATTACCTATCTGCCAAACAGTGTTATTGAGCATTTTTGGCCAAATTCTGCACAGACTTTTCCACAAGTGGGAATCATAAGTTTTACAACTCACCTCTTTCATCAAATCCTTTTTCCTACTGTATTTAGAAAAAAGAACCTGGACCCAGGACTGCAAAGGAAATTGAGTAATATTCCAGGCACACTTTTGGAGAAAAGCTTCATTCTGCTTTCTGAGATCTATGATGCCTAAGCCACCTTGATCTTTAGCCAACTTAAGACAATCCCAGCCAATCGCATGATACTTTCTTTGATTATTAGTATCTCCCCATATGAATTTTCTTTGTAATTTTTCAATTTCATCACAAATTCCCATAGGAAGAAGACTACTTTGCATGTTGAACATAGGAATAGTTGAAATAACTGATTTGGCCAATGTAATCCTCCCTGCCATTGACAAACATTGCTTCTTCCAACCTTGGAGCCTGTTATTGACCCTATCCATTAATTCTCCATAGTGCAATTTGCTTACACGGCCATGCTTCATTTTATAACCAAGATATCTTCCCAGATTCTTAGTATGAGCAAATCCACTAATCTCCACAATAGCATTCACAACATCCTGAGGGACATTTTTAGAGAAAAATATGCTGGATTTTTTAAGGCTCACCTTTTGGCCAGACATGCTGCCAAATTTGTTTAGACAGCTCATCACAATCCTTATTTGGTCAGTATCAGCTTCTCCAAATAACATCAGGTCATTCGCAAATAAGAGATGGGATATGGAGGGCCCACCTTTCCCAGCTTTCATTGGCTTCCACTCCTTCTCCAAGGAGTCCGTAATCAAATGGGAAAGCTTTTCCATACAAAGGACAAAGATATAGGGAGATAATGGATCACCCTGTCTTAAGCTTCTACTTGGGGAGATACTACCAGCTTGAGTGCCATTCCAAAGGATTTCCAACTCAGAGGAGGAGATGCATTGCATGATTAGATTAACCAAAGATATTGGGAAGTTCGCCTCAGACAAAACTTTATGGATAAATTTCCAGGACATCCGATCATAAGCTTTCTCGAGATCAATCTTTATAGCAAAGAAACCCCTCTTCCCCTTCATTCTACTCATTGAATGGACCATCTCGTGAGCAATGATAATATTGTCTTGGATCTGTCTGTTAGGGACAAAGCTAATTTGTTGAGGAGAAATTAGCTTGTCTAGTAAAGGCTTCAGCTTTCCCACAATTAACTTACTGATTCCTTTATAGATAACAGAGCATAGAGCAATTGGCCTGAATTGGTTGATTTTTTCGGGTTTAGCCAACTTTGGAATAAGAACAAGGTGGGTTTTATTTAGCTCTTTCACCATCTCAGGTATATTCCAAACCTGTTTTACACAATCAGTAACTTGAAGTCTCAATAATTCCCAATTCTTTTGGAAAAAGAGGGCAGGGAACCTGTCTGGTCTAGGAGCTTTAAGGCCATTCATAGAAAAAAATGCCTCTCTGATTAGAGAATCGGTTATGGGATCTTGCAATACCTTCAATTCCGAGTCCTCCAAAACAGGCCAGGTATGAGTAGTATTGAACCAGGGTCTGCAGTCATCTTCCTCTGAAAACAGCTTCTTGAAAAAAGAATGAATCAGCAAAATCAACTCACTTTCTTCCTTCACCAGTAGTATTGAGCTCAATAACACACATTGTATTCTTGTTTACATTTTGTATTTCTGGTTGTTTCTAACAGCATAAGAGGTGTCTTCAGGTGGACGTTGCCTGAGATCAGGGATTGCTTAGAAGAGGCTGGATTTCGGTCTGTTCACTTTTGGGTTCGAGAGATGCCAGACACCACAGAGATTGTACGAACAGAGGGATTTGGTGTGGGAAAGGATGTAAAATATGAAGAGGCAACAAGTTTTCAGCAACAAGATTCTTGGAATGCTTACATAGTTGGTGTTGCATAGCTTCATCTTAGAAAGTCTAATTTAGTTTCTGTTGCATTAATTTTTTCATAACTAGACAATTATCCCTTGTAATCAGTTTTACTGCTTGGAACTTTCTTTCCTTCTTTAATTTTTAGTTGAGTTGGATTTATGAATCACAACAAACAATTTTTTAGAGTAACATATATCTCAAGTTTGGTATGAAATTTCATCAATCACTGGTGAGATATAATAGTATATATCTATGATGTACCGATACGGACACCGGCACGGGACACGATACGACATGATACGCCGACACGTTAATTATAAAAAATGTCATATTTCGATACGTTGGAACATGTTTTGATATTAAAAAATATTTTTAATATATATAATATAATTTATATTTAACACAAATAATAGTATATAATAAGTTATATAAACAATCAAATATTCAAATTTCATAACATAAATATAAATAAAAATAATTTTTCGTACCTTATTAATTTTTCATGTCAAATTTCATAACAGAAAAAAATTGATTTATAAATGATTTATTTTATTTTTAGTTAATAAAATAAAATTAAGACTAAAAAAAAAAAGTGTAAGAGCATTGATCACGTGTCGAAAAAATGTGTCGGAGCGTGTCAGAGAGTTGACTGCGTGTCTGACACGCACATTTTTAGAAAATCAACGAGTCTGTGCTTTAGAGGTATATATAAAGGGATTTATTAATCTCTTACAGTAGGAGATGGCTTACTTCGTGCTATAGAAACAAATCATGTGGGTCCCACTATTTTCTAAAAAAGAAAAAGGAATGAAACAACTTTCCACATCTCACTTGCATAAGAGAATTCTCTACGTCAACATAAGAGAATTTAAACCCATATATAAATGCAGTGAGGTAGAATAATGAAGAGAGACATTCCAACGTAAATGTTGAAATAATTGTATATGGCACATCATTTGACTCTTAACTTGTATAAGTACTCGGTGTATATTAGTTAAAAGGAAAAATTACTCATGAAGAGTAGTTCTCCTTTTTATATATTCATCGATTTTCGTATAACTCAACTTTTTTTTATTTAGGTGAGTAGGTTTTATCTATGATTGTGTTTATGGTAGGAGACGAGATTAATAAAGATCTTAGTTAAATTTAAAAAAACAAGCAAATGATGGCCCAAAAAAAGGAAGAAAAAAAATAAAGAAAAAGGGAAGAATTTGATTTCAAAAAGCTAAAGTTACAGGAAGAATTAATAGAAGATATGACTATTTATTACAAAAAAGAAGAAGAAGAAGAAGAAGAAATGACTATAGATATACACTTGTGATCTATGACCTCACAATCAGTGCCGCATGTACATTGTCAATTTGCAGTCAATTTGACGGTTTTGAAAGTTCTTTCGTGATAGCATGAGAATATGTCTGGTGTTGATATTGGAGGGTAACATCCAACAATTCATGAAGAGGTGTCCTTGGCTTCCAACCTGAACCCCAGGAGAATACACGTTAAGAAGAATGTTGGAATTCTGCAGAACAATACCATAGATTTAAAATAATTAATGATTGAATACCAAGCTGCCTGGTGATAATTGTCATATCAGGGATGCGCCTGTCACTATCATCATAGCCTTTACCATAGAAATCCTCTGAACTCACATTCAGAGTTGATAGACTAGACGCAGGTACACCAGACACCTTTGCATAAACCTTAATGGAAATGACAAAATGAGCAAAAGCTGTTAATTTTTCTTTGCGAAACAAAGGCAAAGAACTTATCAATAGACTAATGTTAGAAAGTGGAACAGCTAATATCGAAGGAAGCTTAGGGCTACCTGTATCATAAGCTCAGCTAGTTCCTTCACAGATGCTTCATTGTCTGGGTTTCCCACATTAAAGATATGCCCATTTGCTCTCTCAGGGTTATCCTGCGACATGTTGGCATCTACATTAGTCCAAGCTCATGGCAGGTCATATAGAAACATGGAAGTTTACTTCTGAACCTACAATCATTAACATAACAGCTTCAATTGCATCTTTGATGTAGAGAAAAGTTCTCTGTGATTGTCCACCATCAACAAGTTTGAGTGGCTCGCCTCGCAGGAGATTCTGTAACAAGAAACTTTGAGAAAAACAGTAGTGTATTAAGATCATGAAGACATGAACAGGAAACAGAACCAGCTAGCTGATGTTACATTGCTGAAGCAAGCTAAAACTCTGGGGACACCATCACTTGGGCCATCCACACCAGGAATGAAGTCCATTCTTGGGCCAATCCAGTTGTAAGGTCTCACAATGGTGAACTTGAGGCCATTCTCCGCGTGCTCAGCTTCAAGTTAGTACTGAAGAGTAAGTTAAGAAGAAAAAGAAAATCTAATCATAACTATCATAAACAAAAGTAAAATACATCTCGTTGTTTACCATATATAAGCCTGTCAGTCATTTGCTTTGCACAGGCATAAGACCATCTCTGCTTCTCAATCGGACCAAAAATACAAGGACTGACATCTTCTTTAAGCATGTAGTATTCTGGGTCCTGCATCAAGCAAACTCATGTTAAATCAAACAATAACTAAATGGCGCATGTTTGTGTTTTATTTTCGTTTATAATTACATCAACATATGTATTAAGATCTCCTTCATAAAGCCAATGGTAAGTAAGTAAGAAAGTATAATTACAAAAAAAAAAGTAAGAAATATTATGCAAGAAATGTTGACCATTTCCTTTGTAAATTCTTAAAAATAAAAAACAAAATGAAAATAAATAAGTATTTTCGTAATTATTTATAAAAATGTATTAGCTAAAAAAAAAAAACCAAATACTACGATTAGCTTTGAAAATTAACCATCTAATCAAGTGCAAATTTAACACATTACACTGATGTGAGGACTAGACATTCATGCCAAAAAGGATACTCATTTTCATCAAGAATATATGAAATCATATATTTGTTTACTACTATAAACTGCAGAAACAAAAAGAGGTACCTTTCGATATTCCTCAGGGAGAAAGCTACCAATAGTCTTCCCAAAGACCTCGCACGTAGAAAAATGGATCAAACGCTTATTGTTCTCAGTGCAATACTTAATCTGCATTACATGTAAACAATTCAATCATACACGCACACACACACAAATAAAAACACGAAATTGACGAGTACCCATCTCAAGAAACGACAAAATCTCGCAAACCCACCACCGGAATCGCATCAATGAAATTGCTGTAGATGGTGTCCAACGGGCGCGTGTTATAATCCGCCGGCGTGCAAATCGCAGCAAGATTGATCGTCTGCAACGAAGAACACAAAAAACACGATTACAAAAATAATCAAACCTAGGATAAAAATAAATAAATAAAAAACACATTGAGAAAATCGATGATTATTACGAGATCGGAAGCTTTGACGAGGGTTTCGAGGCGAGAATCGTTCTTGATGTTCATCTGATGAAACTCGATGCGGTTAGCCCAAGGGAGGGAACGTTCGAGGAGGTGGTTGATCTTCTCGGAGGAGACGTCGACGACGATGGCCTTGTGGGTGCTTTCAGCCATAAGCTTCTCGCAGAGGTGGGATCCGATGAACCCGCCGCCGCCGATCATGCATATCGTCATCGGCGGGATCGGGTTTCCGTCCAAGTCGACTCGTGCCATTGAAGACCAGAAACTGAAGCTTTTCTTTTTTCTGCAGTGAGAGAAAGAAAAGAAGAAAATGCAGAGAGAAAAGAAAGTGAGAGAGAAAGAGGGTGAGGCAGTTATAACTGGTTTTTTGCAAATTGAAGAAGGAACTGAGAATGCGGTGGCAATGTCGTAAATTATCCCTCAATTTCAGTTATGGTCGTTACTTACAGTTACTTATGGCCCGTTGATTTTCATCATTTTTCAATTGTTCTCATCCTTCGGACCCATATTATTAGGACCTAGTACTAAATTTTATACAATTGAATTGTGATAAAATGGTGATAATTAAGTACATATTATTAATATTATATAATATATTAAATAACTAATTATATAAAATTATAATAAATTAAGTTAAGAGAAATTCTAAATTAATATAAAAGTATCATATTAGGTAAAAAAATATATCAATAACACATTAAATAATAAGAATTTATATATAAGAGTAATAATTTTCTTATGTTATATAAGAAAAATATTATCTCATACACTCATATTTTTTAAATGGGTCTTATAAAAATATTATCTCATACACTCTTATGTTATATGTGGGACCCATATTGGATCATGTGAAGAGAAAAGAGAAAAAAAAATATAGGTCTCATATATTTTTATGTGTATAGGAGATAAAATTATCTCCTACAACATGAGAAACATTAATCTCATTTATATATAAGGTAATATTTTTTCTTATGTTATATAATAAAAAGATTATCTCCTATCTAAATAATAAATAGAAGAGAGAAAATAGTTGAAGACGAAAAAAATAAATTATAAGACCCATTTAAAAATATGAATATATGAGATAATACTTTTCTTATATAACATAAGAAAAATACTACCCTTATATATAAGGGTTCGTTTTTTCTACAGTCAATGTAGATAACTTATTTACATTAAGTTCAAAATGACATCGTTTTGAGACGGAAATCAAGGTATTTTTGTAATTATAATTTATTTCAAAATTATAATAATCTTTTTTATTTAAATTTTTAATTTTTCAAATCAAAACGACGTCGTTAAAGCCTATTTATAAACATCAAACTTAAGACTTCATTTGTCTATAGAAAAGTACAGACTGATTTTTCACCATTAAGTTGATTATTTTTTACTAATTTTGAACCGGTTCAATTAATACACTAATTATTTGATTTTTTTTAATGTTATCTAGACTAACGATCCGACCAATTCACAAAATTTTCAGTCCAAAGAATCAGTTTGATTTGATTTTTTTTTCTTTTTTATTGTTACTTACTATCGTTGAGGAATGACGAAAAAAATTTGTGAACTTTCTGGTTTAAGAAGTAAATTTCTTTTTTGGATAACATGATATTTTAGTGGATGAGATCTTTTATTTTGTATTTAATTTTTATTTATAATTATTTATATAATTAAGTCTTGGGTTATATAATAATAATGTTGCAGAAGAAAAATACATTTTTCCACATACACAATAAAATATGGGGCCATTAGTTTTTTAGTTTGTCTCTCCTAATTCCATTTTCTCAATTCTCATTATTGTGTATGTAAGAAAAACTTTTTTTTCCCTGTAATATAAGGGATATAAACCCCTTAAGTCTTTCAATTATTCAAACATATTTTTTTGTCGGTCTCTCTAACAAAAGAAGTTATATAGTTCTTAAAAGAGATGGATTATTTACCCAAAAAAGAGAAAGAGATGGATTCCAATAATTTAGAAATACAATTGATCTGGATAACATATAGGCCCATGAGATTTAAAGTCCAAAAAGGGCTCATGAAAGCGCAGTGATCTCATTGTGCAGAATACACACAACAAGCATTGCGCGAACGATAATGTAAAACCGCCTTATATAACTTAAAGACTAAGAAAAGTCTTAGTAACGAGATGAGTTCCACCGCGCATAAGGGTCAACACAAGGAAGACAACTCCAGCTTGTCACTACTCTAAGAAGACATGCTATTATATAGACTTGTTCATCAAGAAAATAGCCAGAAAGGCACCAAGAATTTCACTAGCATTGATACTGACTTGAAGGAGTGTCTTTGCAGGTACCCCCCCTCAGTCACTTCCATTGTGCCAGAATTTCACTACTGCCCATGCACAAAGAAGTACATACCACTATACATTCAAGCCCTCATGTTACAATTCAAAGCCCAAAGTCTTCAATATTCAACAGTGTGTAATTTGGCCCAACCAATCTTGGACTAGTCAGATCATTGGCGCCGTATGTGGGGAACGATAAATTTTGAATCCCACTCTTTTACAAATCAAAAGCATGGTTGATACCAGAAGCAAATCTCAAAACGGTTCCAAGGGGAAGAAGAAGGGAGCACAGATTTCACGTGAGAAATCAGCTTCATCTGTTGCTCCAATTTCAATACGTAATGAAAATCCGCCCACCACCCAACAACTGTTAGAGCTCATCACTCAGCAAAATAAGAAAATTGCTCAGCAGAATCGGGATTTGGCTCAGTTAAAAAAATTACAAAGATAGAAGGGAAAAACTAGAGAAAAATGAAAAGAAAAAGAAAAAGAGAAAGAAAATGAAGTGTAAATAGAAAAATCCGATGAAAGTGAACTAGGACCTAAATGTTCAAAAAGGGATCATTATCCTTCAAACAAAGATAAAAAGAAAATTGAGGAGCGAGAGGTACATGAAAACTCTTAAGGAAATTCTAAAATGGTTTCTCGAGTTGCGCATCCTTTCACTTTTCAGGTCATGAACTTACCGATTCCAAGGGACGTTAAGATTACTACAGAAAAATATAACGGGAAGGGAGACCCTTAGGAATGTTTAGAGCAATTTCAAACGCTCAAGATGTGTCAGATCTAGTTGTTTGTCGATGGTTTCCAACAACGTTGAAGGTGATAGCCCTTAGATGGTATTCTGCTTTACCATCGAATTCAATTCATAATTGGGACGATCTCGTAAGTCAATTCCTTATACGGTTTGCTACCAGTAAGGTGCAATACAAATCAACTCATGCCTTAAAAACAGTTAGGCAAGGCGCGCACGAAAGTCTCCGCTAGAGGTGGCAATATGGGTTGAGCCCGGCGGGTCAACCCGCCAACCCGCCAAAACAGGACGGGTTGGGTTGAGGTTTTCAACCCACCAACCCACTTCAACCCGCCCCGTCTAGAAGTGGGTCAAAACGGGTTCAACCCGCTGCAGAGCGGGTTGACACACAGGGTTATAATTTTATTTTATTTTTACAATTAGGTTGTATTTCATTTGTCATTAAATTTTTGTGATATCCAATTTTTTTTATCTTAGTACTTCAAAGAAAAAATAAAGAATAACAATTTTATTTATGACAAATGTTATTTATATATGGAGACAAATGAGTTCCTAAAGAATGTTTGACAAATATTAGTATATATTTAAGATTGAGACTGAAAAAAATTAAGCAAAATGTGAAATAAAATAAAATAATATTACAAAAAATCATAAAATATAATTTATTTTTGAATTTTAATTAATTTTTTTTAATTGGCCGGTTGGTGGGTTGACCGCCAACTCACCATAAAATGGGGTGGGTTCATTTTTCCAACCCATATTTAATGGCAGGCCAACCTGCCCCACCCCGTTTTTGGCGGTTGGTGGTAGGCAACCTAAATTGCCACCCCCAGTCTGCGCGATTATTTTAATAGATTCTTATATGAGACTATTTTGGTAAAAGATCTGAATCATCGGGTTTCTTTGCATCTTATTATAGAGGGATTATTAAACGGTCCATTTTCCATGTCTCTGGCAAAACATCGCCTATGAACTATTGAGGACCTTAGAGCGCGATCTGAAAAGTTCATTAATCTAGAGGATTATAAGAGATCTCGTGATGATTCTGGGATAAAAACAGATCTTATTAACTTTGAAAAAGATTTCCAGAGAGATTTTCAAAGGCGTTTTAAGGAAAAGAGCAAATAGGAGAAGTTTGAAAATTATACTCCTTTGAATGCTTCCCGTAGGCGCATCTTGAAGGAAGTCTTTCAAGCTGGTTTTGTTAATATCTCAAAACCCACACCACTGAAGAAAAATGGAAGGCGCGATGAGAATAAATTTTGCAAATTCCACGATGATGTTGGCCATACAATAGAAGAGTGTTATGACCTTAAAAATACCATAGTGGTACTAATCAGAGCAAGAAAAATCAGGGAATTTATAGCTACTTGTAGGGATTATAAGGCGCAAAAAAGGCACTATAGAAGCCCTGATACTGATAGAAATTCTGATAAAAGAAGGTTTCAGGAAAAGAGAGATTACAACTGGACCAGATCTCATAGGGACACAAATACCCCGTATAGGCGCAATAATAGACAAAAAGAAGGGTCACCACGCGAAAGACTGTGCGATCAAAAAGCAAGGGACCATGGACCTCCACAATTGTCCAACAATGCTCCTGGAGTTTTAGCCACTATTGCTGGAGGAACAGCAGGAGGAGGTGAAACTTTCCTAGAGGAAGCGACACTTAAAGGCTGTCATGACTGTCAGCAACCATGCACAGGATTCCACACATCTTAAAGGTCGCTAGTCAATTACTTTTGACGATGATGAGTTGATGACTATAGAGGTATCATTCCAGGTCACAACGATCCTTGGTGATTTCTGCTTTCATGGCGAACCTCCAAGTAAAAAGAATTTTAATTGATAATGGTAGTTCTGCGGATATCCTTTTTTGGGAGGCATTTCGCGCGATGGATATTTCAGAGCAGCACATAATCCCTAGCTGTACGGATTTGCTTGGATTTTCTAGAGAATGCGTGCAGCCCAAAGGTACAGTTGAAATGCTAGTAACCTTTAGGATTATGCCTAATGGGAGAACAATTAAGGTACGCTTTTATATTATAGATTGTGCATCAGCTTATAATGTTATTTTGGGTCGCCCAACCAATGAGGCTTTGGACGCAATCATTTATATTCCATATCTTTTGATGAAATTCAGAAGTCCTTCTGGCACAATTGTATCTGTTAGAGGTAACCAGAATCTTACAA